AACCCATTCTGGGCAAAGAGCCAAGATAGCAGTGGATCCAGCGCGAAGAGCCAGGGCAAAATTATCGAGAAAAAAACCCAACACTACTACTGTCCCTCGTTTTGAAGCTTTATGGCCACAGGAGGCTCCTGCTGCCTTTTTTAATTCTGCATCTTCCATGGCTGCCCCGGACAGCTCTCCTGCCCAGGTCAGCACACAGAGCTGGGAGGAGAGGGCCGTTTATGGGGTGTGGAGGGGGGGGCAGCTTATGAGTCACAGAGGGGAGGCGGGGAAGAGCCGCATGCAGCTCGTGAGCCTCAGGTTGGCCACGGCTGGCATAGGAACTCGAAAACACACAAAGGCTGCAATAAGCCTAAATGAAGCTCAACCTGACCCTTTCGGTGTAGGCCCGAAGGTAGATGCTGAATTGCAACGTCTGGAAAGGTAGGGCATACGTTCAGAAGTGGGGAACGCCTGTCATTCCAATTGTTTAAAAAAATGGCGCTGTAAGGGCTTGTGGAGAGTTTTCAGACACCACAAATCCTGTACTGAAAGTTTTAAAAAATACCCCCACCTCAAATTGACCTTTTTGCTACAGGGGTAGGGGGCCAGTGATTCAGCCAGACTGGTTTGTCCCAGGCCTGCCGACAGATGGACACTGAGGAAGAGTCGAAGGCATACCTCACAGTCAGCACACAGAAGGATCTGTACCAGCATCTCTGGCTCGTGTTTGGTATTGCTTTAGCTCCTGCTATATGGCAACGGGCAATGGACCAAGTGTTGCAAGGTGTCCTGAGAACACAGTGTTATTTGGATGACATTACTCTGACTCGTGGAAGTGATGATGAACATCTGGAAGCCGTGAAAAGGGTATTAAAACGTCTAGGAGAATACAGGTCACGAGCTAATTGCATAAAATGTAATTTTTCAAGGACTCCATGGCTTGCTGTGGACACATTATTGATGCTCAGATGAAGCTGATGAAAGCTCCCCCACCAAAGGCTGTGTCGCCTCTTGGATCATGTCTGGGTTTTATCAACTACCGGAGCCCGTCTGTACCAAACCCAGCAACAGTAGTGCATGCACTGAACTATTTACTGGTCAAACGTGGGTTTGGTCACAGGAGTGTCCAAAAGCTTTCCCGGAAGCAAAACCATTGGCCACGGCAACCACCTTAGCCTGTCCTTGCCTATCAGCTAAGCAGGTGGTGCTTCCTCACGTGGAATTGGAAGAGGTACGTCCCACGCAATGCCAAGTGACAGAGAGCAGCCCATGGCATTTGCTTCACGACCGCTCACAGGGGTAGAACCTAACTATTCCCAAATAGACCAGGAGGCTTTAAGTCTGAGATGGGATGTGTTGAAATTCATCCAGTATTTATATAGGAGAAAATGTACCCTTGTCCCAAACCACCAACCCCTAATAGGAATCCCTCCCAGTGTAACCCAGAGGCACTGAGTCCGCTGACAAGGGAGAGTGAAGTCAGCTCTACAGCTGCAGCAGAGAGCCAGTTGGCTTTTGTTCGTGCTGTCGAGGCACACGGCTTGAGCCCCTTCGATCGCAGGTTCAATCCCTCCAGCTGACGACCGGGGTCTGTTGGCTTTACACGAGGGAGGAGGCTTCTGTGACAGTGGCAGCGTGTACGCCTTGCTAGGCTTTCTTCTTAGCTGGCAGTGTCTGTGACATCGAACTCAAAAGCACATGCAAACGCAGGCGGGTTCTCCTGCCTGCCCGCACTAGTGGAAGGACCACCTGGAACAGAGGCAGAATCCGTTGACTGTGTCGATTTATTTCAGATTACGTAATGGCTTATAGTTTGATCACAGAAGAAAGCAGGAGGAATCCCACATAAGCTCAAGTTTGTGAAGGCGGAAAGATCCTGACAGCCCTAACCTGGCATCCTTTTACCCACAGAAAGGTGAGCTGACCATACATCAAGGGTCTGTCACATGCAGCATTCCTGTTGTCATCCCTAGTACACTGTGCACAAGTGTATTAGAAGGGCTTCCTGTAGGACACATAGGGCTAACCAAAATGAAGGCATTCGCCAGGACGGCCACGTGTTGACCGATGAATACAGCCGCTTGCTAAGGGGATGCTCAGGATGCCAACAGGTACAGTACAGGCCTGACCCAGCCCCATTACATCCTTTCCATGTCTGCATATTGATTTTGCAGGAGCATTTTTCGGAGTGATGTATCTAGTAGCGGTGGATGTATCTAGTAGCCCATTGCAAATGGCCAGTTTGTTTGTTTTCATAGAAACCATCCCAGCTGTACAAACAGGAGAAAAATGACATTTGTTTGCCAGAACTAGACCGCCCAAGCCAGTTGTGAATGACAACAGTGCTCAGTTGAGTTGAGAAGTTTTAGGGATCCATGAAGAAAAATAGTACTAGAAATATTCCTTCCCTACTATGTCACCCAGACACAAATGGCTCTGCGGGAAGGCTAGTGCAAACTTTTAAGCAAGTCCTCTGATATACGACACACAAGCAGTCTTGACCATAGAAGCTGTCATGCTTCTTGCCAGCATATTGAAATGCAGTACACACCGTGACAAAGCAACCCCCAGCCGTGCTGTTTAAAGCTGATACTTCGGGTCACCGTTGGACTTATTAATGCCAGAGCTACATCTACAAGTCAGGAATTATCTAATAAGTCAAGCAATGACAGCTACAAGTGCGTCAAACGGTGCTGGTGTGTTATTACCAGGGACGCAGGACATGGCTTCCAGCAGTTGCTACTGCACAAACAGGTCCTTTGTCCACACAGTACAAGTGGCACCCAGTATGTTTCAGTGCTGCCACACCGACCACCTGTGAGATTTGGGGGTCAGTCTGCGGCCGACAAAAGAGGCCGTATCTGGGGAGCTGCCAGTTGTTCTAACATCGGTGCCCCGCAGCTTGACACAACCATCAATAACATTCTACCAGAACGCAGCTGTGCTGAACGGCCGGCATCGTCCGAGGGAACATCTGAGTCAGACGTTGCTGGAGATGCGCCACTTCCTCAGGGGAGCGCTCCAGATGTTGGCAGACGCTCTCCAGAAAGAAAACGCAAGCCACCTGAAAGCCTTGACTTGTAACTGGATCATGTTCCCCCTTCCCCAAGCACCTCTGAGGTGGTTGTGCCCATTTCCGTAGGGTTTGGAGCAGACGGTTGAATCTGTTTATGTGTATTTGCAGATATAGCTTCTTAAGCAGCTGCTTGTGCTGAATCCAGTATTAAATAGTGGTTTCTATGGTTCTCATCGAATGCAATACAGAGTCAGTTAGCCCTCGCGGTTCCAACTATAGGTACTTCAGGGATTTGGGTTGCGTCCATAATAGTTACTTCTGTCAGCGTTGCTTCTGCATTGGTCGAGCTGCAGGACTGGGGGTGCCTGGTTCTGCATTTGGCTTCCACTCTTGTGGGGCGAACGCCATCGTGTTTTCCTGCTCATTCTCCATAATGCATCCCTTGCCTAGATGGGGAGGCGTCTGCTAACGGTGGTGGTGGGGGGTGAACCTTGGAGGTTTGGAAGTTTGGTTCAGATCAGTGCTCAAAAGACTGGAGGTCCAACTGGACCATCAGATCCACGTTGCTCTGCAAAACTGACCAGGTAATCTCACAGGATTTCTGGCTGTACTTCTAATATGTTCAGCTCCTGATGAGAATAATTTTTTCGAAGGGCTTTCGATGCAGGTCAGTACCCAGCGTTGTGGAGACTCGAGCCAGGTGAATATTTAATTCCGAATAATTTATTCCATGAATGCTGCCCCCTTTCTATTACGGCCTGAGCGTGAGCTCACATTTATGTGCTATTTAAGTTCATTCATGAATTTCTCAGGTAAGTAAATCGTTCTCAGTTCCAGCTTGTTCGTTGCAAATACTTTGAATTCATGCAATATTGTTTAGGTTCAGAAGTCACGTGTCGTTATTTCTCATTCCCAATTGGTTATTTCTCTTCCGTGATTATATGAGCTACGTAACCAACCAGCAGTAGCGGATATTTTGACTTGTGTGTTGGAGGGTAAGCTTGGCAGTCACAGAGCTCTGTGCAATTTGAAACCCCTTTGGGGTAATGTTTCCATGCCTGTGAGTGAACTCTGTTCACTAGACGCCTACCTAGTCTGGGGATTTTTTTTAGCAACACTGCTAAATTCCTCGAAGGAGGGGTGAGATGAGGCTGGGGGCCTGATCGGGTCTCCTTTCCTGTGCGCCAGAGATGCAATGGGGCTGGCGCACAGGTGGGAGCATTTTGCATTCAGGAAAAGGATTTGGCTAGGGTCTCTGCTGTGTAACTCTGCCCGGTGCTCCTGCAGACCCCTGGGAGCTAAGTGATAGCAGCATGGATGGATTTGCCTGCCCTCTTAGTTCCAGCCAGATTAACCATGTTCTGTCCTGAGCGCTGACCGTGTGACCAATAGGCAGGAATTGCGCAGCCTCTTGCGCTCAAGAAGTGGAGCCAAGATTTGAGGGCCAAAGTCTGGGCTGAGGACACTTTGGGGTCAGCCCATTAGTCTAGGGCCCTGCTCGCACCGTGACATTGACTTCAGAGGTGTCGCATGAAACCAGAGTAAGTCAATGGGAGAGCAGGCCCCTGCGGCTCACAGATGGTTCTGACTCATCCACACTTGATGCCGAGGTTTGGTTTGGGCCGTTAGCGCTGGCTGTGGAGCTCACTCCTGGATTTGAATTTTCCTGAGTGTCGGGGAGGTTGGGTTGGGCCCACCAGTGCTTAGCTTAAATTCTCTCTTCCTAGCACACTTCCCTGGCTTTTCAGGGCTGTACAGAACTGCTCCAAAGCCAGGGCCCTTGAGAACGGAGCCTCACGTTGGCCAGCTGATGAGCTGCTGGTCTGGGGACACTTTCGGTGTCAACGCTGTGGAGCAGTATGTCGGGGTTGGGCTCCCGGCAGCGCTGGTAAGGCATGGGAGCTTGGCTGAAGCCCTGTGGTTCCAGGTCTTTGGATGAGTTTTCCATTCATGTAGCATCCTCTCAAGTCTCCACTCAGCAATTACTCCTTTCTCTCCTTAGCCTTTCCAAGCAGACGGCTGGTGTGACACCATCAACAACCGGGCGTATTGCCAGTACGACGGGGGTGACTGCTGCTCTTCCACACTGTCCTCCAGGAAGGTAAGTGAGCTTCCCGCCGGAGGCAGAAGGGAACTGGCCAAGTTCCGAATAAGAGCTCAAACAGCCCATGATCACATGCTTCTCCGCACCTTGGAACAGAGCCAGCTGGCTGGTACCCATGCAAGTGGAAAGCATACCTTGATCCAAACCTTGCTGAGGTCAGTGATTGACCTAAATGGGTTTGGGGTTAGGGCCAGTGGGACTGAGTACTCAATCCAACTCCCCTAGACATTCATGGGAGTCTTTTTCCTTCAGGAAACGGGTCCCTAAGGCAGTATCAAGTTCCTACAGTGCGAATGGAGTTATCTAGTGAGGATTCAAAAGCTACAATGATGCATGATTCAGGAACTCAGTGATGCAGCAAATTGTCATCCCACCCAGATTCAGGAACTCAGTGATGCAGCAAATTGTGATCCAGATTTTTTCCCTCCTTTCCTCCCTCCTGCTGTCCTTGGCCTTTTTATGCCCCCGTAGAAAGCTGTGCCTGTGGGTAATTTAGCAGTTGCCTCATTTGATCTGTGAATGAAGCCGGCCCCTCTTTTTCTCCCGTCCTTCGCCCCTGCCATCACACCCAAGTTTCCCAACTTCTCCTTCCAAACGACATCCAAGAGAAAAACAAACCTTCCTACACAGATACTTTCTCATTCCAAAACTATGTGGGTCTGGTTCTTTTCTTCCTTCCTTTACCATGGATCTTGAATCCTGTGTCCTTTCATCGTGTATAAAAAACCCCCAACTGCTAATGTGTAAGCTAGATCACAGGAAATGGGTGTTGTGCTAAAATAACTAGAGCAGCGCACCTACAATTTCACTTGGCGATCTTACCGGATTGCGGTGATGCATTGTAGGGAACAGGACTGAGTGAAACATGATGAGCCCAATAATATTGGAATCTTGGGGATAGAGAAAGATGGTGTAGTGGAGGCTGAGCAGAGGGGGAGGAACACTGTCGTGAACCCTCCGAAAAGCAGCCAAATCAAACCACTGAAAAGAACGTCTCATTCCATCTCCTCAGAGACCCATTCGCTTTCTGCATGAACACAAAACCCCCTGAATTGCTTTGTTTATATGATCAGAAATGGAGGCGAGCAAGGCTCAAATACAGAGCAGCTTGCACAGACTTTTCATTCAGATCAGACTGACAGAACCCGATACGTCTCTAACTAAGAAAGAATTCCCGGCTTCGAGTCTGGTTAGTATGAAGACCTCCAGGAGGGAGAAGAGCTTCCAGGACCCTCGTCTGTGAATTCCCTTGGCTGTGGTACTCCCTGGCACAGCCCAGCTCGGGAAGGACATAGCCACAAACAGCTACAAGCAGGAACACTGGGGGGAGTTTTACTACCATCTTGCTGCTATCAACTAAGCCACGTGGCAAAACAAATGTGGTTGGTTTGCTAGCCCCAGGTGCAGACTGTCAGTTTCTGGATTTACCGTGTGAGTCGACAGGACCTGAGTTTAAAATTTGCTTTAAAAAAATCAGGAGTGTGTGTCTGAAGATTATAAAATGACATCTCTAAACAAAATCATCACGATCGCCCAGGCTGCCATTGGACGTGGGAGGCGCCAGTGTAATAGTACTGCGTAAAGGCGAAGGACGTCCCTGGAATAAAACGGGATGCGGGTCAGAATGGAGACCCCTAGGTGAAAATGTACTACATAGATCTAACCGCAACACACACACTCCACCGCCCACTTTCCCCCCCTAGAAATCTTTTGTTTTAGCTAAAAAATTCTATTATTTTGAATCAAGCCTCCCCAATTTGTTGTCAAAAATTAAGAAACTTCCACACACATTTGAAAGAAATGCCACATCAGACCAGGGCAACACCACCTGCCGAAGTCTGCACACAGCATGAAACAATAGCACGCAGAGGGGGGAACGATCCCATCCATTTCTGTGGTGGGTAAAACCAATGCTAGGCATGGTCCAACCACAATTGGAGTCCCTTTACATCTCCCCCACCGTTCAAGCCTTGTAGGGCATGGAACATACATGGGCTGCGTCCAATATAATGAGTCCCCTACCCTGGCTGAGCCATTTGGGTGCTACAGTAATACATAAGCAGAACCATACAGCTCTTGGCTGTCTGGGGCTCCCATCCTGCCTAAATTTGTCCTGTCCCAGCTATTACTAAATCATGGCAGGACCCCAGTTGACTAAAGCGAGAGCTCTAGGTGTGAGATTGTCCACCCAGCCGGCTCTTTGCTCACCGCAACATCATCTTTTCCCTGCTCGCTGTGGAGAACTTCCTTCTGAGAGGACTGTCATTGGAACCAATTATAATTGGAACCATTGGTCCTTGTGGCCGACCCTCTTGAGCCTCACCGGGCCAATCGAGGGGCTCCTTGTAATGAGAGTTTCACAGCCCTTTCCCAGTGAGCAGCTTTGCAAACCCATTTGCTTTCTCCCTCCCCTCAGGTGATCCCCTTTGCTGCTGACTGTGACCAAGACGAGTGCACCTGCCGGGACCCAGCGGCCGAAGAGAATCAGTAACGGCACCGCAAGCAGCCTGTCGGCAAGGCAAGCGCCACAGGAATGAATGGGAAACCACCAGGGCCGGCGGGAGAGCGAAAGGCTGCTGGGAGGGGAAGAGGAAAGGGATCCGAATCACAACAGGACGATCTCTGCATGACATCGGGTACAGGCACCCACCCGTCCGAGGTGTCGCGAGAGAAGGGGTGTGAATGGTGAGAGACGGGGAAACAAACGAGGAGATGGCCAATAGAGAGCGGGACGACCCCTCGTTACACCCCCGACCCCTCTCTCACCCCCTTTCAGAACCAAAACCGAGACCCAGGGCCTTCGCCGAAGCCCAGGGAACTCGGCAAGGACGAGTCTTTCCGTTGACTCCAGCCAGCTTTGGATCAGGCTCCAGAGCCAAGAGTTGAGAAGCTGCCGTGGACACTTTATGTTACTGTATCAATGGTCTGTCACCGCTGAGTGTCCTGCTCTGAGTTTCCTCACTACTCACTTTCTCTACTGTCTAGGCTTCTTTTAGCAAGGTTGAGATAGTTGTGAGCTCGCAAATATTTAAACATAATTATATATATAGTTATATATATATAATTATATATATCTATAATTTTGCTGTTTATTAAGCTGAGAAAGAATACCTTTTATAACACACGTGCTGCTGTGAAGTACAAACTATTGGAAAAGAAGTGAACTTGCCAGAATATGCTGGGAGGGAAAGGGAAACCGAGGCACACCAAGCAGGGGCTTTAATTCTACTGAGAGATGTCTTGCCAATAACCAACGTTAGGGGCAAATCCTGAGATGTACTGAGCATACACAGATCCCAGGGACCTCAGCGGGATTTTCAGGTGCTCCACGTCATTCAGAATTTGTCCCTAAGACGGTATTTATCCTTCAGAATGTACAATACTCTTGAATAGCTCCACCAAATACTACAGCTTACTATAGTCTTAGTACAGGATGGTTACCCTGGAATAGTACTGTGCTATCACTAGAGAATGCTTCATTATGGCCTATTACTCCAACATTTTCTAGGGTGGTTCTTAACACTAGAATACTCTAGTATGTGGGAGTATTCTAGAATACTCTCAGATAGGCCATTACTCCAGAATTTTCCAGTATGGTTCCTTACTCCAGATACTCTAGTGCAGGCCAATATTCCAGAACACTGTCGAAAAGCCCTCTCTCACGGGGTCATTGTTCTAGTCTCTGCTTTCGTCTGACTTTGTCTCTTCCCCCTTCAGTGGTTGGTGACCCAGGTTGGAAACGAACGTGCAAGAGCCAGGCAATCCGGAACATCCCATCTCATAGTCTGTAAAAAGATAAGATCCATCCTCCTTAAAATCCCTCTCTGGTCATGGGAGCTCTAGGATCCAAACTCGGTATAGGAAGCTTCTCGGAGGACTCTTGGGAGATGCTAAACCACTTCCCAAGAAAATTTGTCACCCTCTTGGTGTTTATTTTTCTGGTCTTCGTTGCCCTTCACTTACACCATAAAATATTACAAGGTCTCTTAGCCTGAACACGACCTTTTGTAGGTCACCAGTGACATAATGGAGATGAGTTTCTAACCAAGCATGAGGTCAACCAACAACATTAGGTCCCAGACTCAGACTTCCCGGACGTTCACATAAGTGATTGGAATCAACCCATGATAGACCGATGCCAGATTTGGGACTTAGGGCTAGTGAATTACTCTAGTGTGTGAGCTTTTCGAGCTGGAGTTTCGATGGGCCCTCGTTTAATTTCTAACCAATTTTTGGAATCATGTTCTAGAGGGAGGAAATTGATGAGACATGGAAAAGGGGGGTGGGGGAGAGGCGAGAAAAGGGATAGAAAAGTGAGGAAAGAGTAGGGAGAGAAAATGTGACGGTCTCAAGATATCCCTGCTGTGGCATTAGGGCTGAGGGAAAATCGACCAGGGATTTTCCTTTGACAGTGGAAGGTTGTTAGAACGAGCAAATTGTGGAGTCTGTCTTGACCAGGCCCATTTCAATGGGGAAATGCTCCTCTGGCTGCCCAGCACATGGAAGGAGAGTGACTCTGTAGGGCGTCAGAATGTCAGAGTCCAGCATGCAGTTGGCTCGTGCCAGCCTGTTCTTAAGGCACGTCAAAGGGGGCTCTTAAGGGCAACACCCTGCCCTACTGTGTAGAGCCCTGCAGCAAGTCCCATGGCTTGGTCTCTCCCCCTTTCCTGAGCTGGGAGGGGTAGGATACAGGATCAGATCCAGAGGACAGATGGAGGATGAGTTAATGTGTCACTTCACCCAACAGTAGGGCTACTCTGTTGAAACTGCCTTTTAGACCAAGCAGAATGGTTTGCAAGAGGCTCTGCTCTCAGTGGGAAATTGTGACTCAACACCTGACAACCAAAAAGCTTCCGTTTAAAATCTGTAAAATTGTTGTATGGATGCCTTGACATGGTGCCTCAGACCCTCATTACTCTCCGTGAGCAGCCCCATGTGGTGAGAAGGGACTCTTTATCATATTGGATCACGCCAATCTTATGTCCCCCATGATACACTGCAGTCTGCTCTCTTGCAGAGCCGCTGTGGTATATTCAATGTCCATCTAGCAAAGTAGCCTGTCTCCTGACAGGGGCCAGTGTCAGGTGCTTCAGAGGGAGTGAACAGAACAGGACAGTTATCAGCAAATCTGTCTCTTGTCCAGTCGTAGCTTCTGGCAGTCAGAGGCTTAGGACACCCAGAGCATGGGACTGCATCCCTACCCAACTTAGCTAATAGCCCTCGATGGACCTGTCCTCTATGAAAACATCTAGTTTTTTTTTAATCCATTTATACTATTAGCCTTCACAACATCCCCCAGCAGTGAGTTCCACAGGTTGACTGTGACTTGTATGAAGTAGTTCTTCCTTTTGTTATAAGCCCCCTGCCTTTTAATTTCACTGGACACCCACTGGTCCTTGTGTTTATGTGAAGAGGTAAATAGCACTTCCTTATTCATTTTCTCCACACCATTAATGATTTTATAGACCTCTATTGTATCTTACCTCCGTTGTCTCTTTTCCGAGCTAAAAAGTCCCAGTCCTCGTCATCTCTCCTCATATGGAAGACGATCCAGACCCCTAATCATTTTTGTTGCCTTTTCTGCATCTTCCAATTCTAATGTCTCTTTTGAGATGGGGCCAGAACTAACAGTATTCAAAGCAGGGGCGTGCCATCTTTTATGAAGATGTTGAACAGCACTGGTCCTAGTAGAGATCCCAGAAAGATTCCATTATTTACCTTTCTCCATTCTGAAAACCGATCATTTATTCCTACCCTTTGTTTCGTTTCTTAGCACCAGTTACTGAACTCTCCTCTTATCCCACAATTGCTGATGAGCCATTCGTGAGGGACAATGTCAAGGCTTTCTGAAAGCCCAAGTACAATATCATCAGAGATCACCCTTGTCCGCATGTTTTTTACCTCCTCCCAAAGCATTCTAATCGATTGGTGGGACATGATTTCTCTTTACAAAACCGTATCGACTCTTCCCCAACAAATGATATACATCGGTGTCTGTTGGTTTTGTTCTTTACTGTAGATTCAAGCAATTTGCCTGATACTGAAGTTAGACTTACCAGTCTGTAATTGCCAGGATCACCTCTGGAGCCTTTTTTTAAAAATTGGCATCTCATTAACTGATACAAAAGCTGATTTAAAAAATAGGTTACATGCCATAGTTAGTTCTGCAGTGTCATATCTGAGCTTCAGGACTCTTGGATGGAGAACATTTGGTTGGGGTGACTTATTACTGTTTTATTAATTTTTTCCAAAATCACCTCTAATGACACATCTGTCTGGGATAGTTCCTCAGATTTGGTATCTAAAAAAAAAAATGGCTCAGCACATTCACATTCGCTGCAGGGAAGACCATGAGCCAGACACATCAAGGAGTCTGGAGGTGAGACCCCTGACTTACAGCACCACGGAGATATTGCCATAGCATCGTTTTTCAAGGGTTTGGCCAACAATTTGCCATTTTTGAATTTTTACTGGAAAGTTGAATTTTTCCAAGGAAAGAATTGTTTTCCCAAGAGCCCTTCTCCACAGCCGTAGGAGGGGGCGTGCTGATGGGCCCGTCCCGCCCGTGACTGATTAGAATAAGGAGATGGGGCTGTAAAGTAGGGAATCCGCTGGTAGGAAGCTTTCTCTCGACAACTGCTCGCTGCCCAGCCCCCTCTGCCAAACAAGCTGCGTGGCGGCGAGAGGGAGAGGCAGCCCTGGCGTCAGTGAACAGAGCGCCGTTGACGGCAATGGAATGCCGGCTGCTCATACCGAGAATAAGGACCAAGCTCTTCCTGGCCGCACCTCTTGGGTTTGCTAGCAGAGCCCTGTACAGGTCGGCTCAGCTGGGCCCTGTGTTCGAGCGGCCACGCCCCTTTGGTGCATGTGTTGTGCCGACACAAGGCCCCAGCTCTAGCAGGTTCTCACTGCTGGGGGCTAGAAAGCAGGTTCAGACCCTTGCCCCACCAAAAAGGGGCCCAGTAGCTAGAATGCAGCTGGCCCAGCGACGACGCCACGTGCTCCAGCAGTGCTCTCACTGCAAGCAGC